CCCCTGGGGGGTGATTTCTCGCTTTCTGTCTCTCTGTCTCTCTCTGTCCTGGTGAGAGCATGCGCCCTATAGCAAAAACCTCTCAAAAAAAAGGTTAACAAATTAATATATGAAGAACTGGAATAGTGTCTGCCACTCACTAAGTGTAAAATAGGTATTGCTATTTTGCTCCTCCAGACTGACTCCAAAACAGTGCCCCTTGAACATCAAGCTCTGGCTTCCCTGCTCATTCTTTTTTCTAACTTTTTTTTTTTTTTAGAAATTTTTGCTATTGGGTGTGTGCTCTCACCAGGACAGAGACAGAGAGACAGAAAGTGAGAGATCACCCTCCAGGGGGGATGGCCACATCGCAATCCCTTCTCCTCCATTCTCCTCTCGGGATCTTGGACATGCACGCATAGGTGCCTGGTAAGAGTTTTAAGCCACCGGATCCAGGACTTGAATGGCAGTTAACAATGTGGGAGTCCAGTGGTATAACCATTACACCATCTGCTGGTTTGTAAGTTCCTATTTGTGTGATCTGTAAGCCGTCGGATTCCAACTCAAACCACAGGTGGCCATGTAGGAATACAGTGCCTTAACCCCCACACCATCTGCTGGCCCCACCCTACTCACCCTGCATTTTTTGAGATTTTGTCATAAGGTGCGTGAGTTAGTTAGCTGCAAGACAGAAAGCAAGAAATCCCCCCCCCCACACACACACACACACAAGGGGAAAAGCCACACTGCAACTTTCTCCATTCTCCTGAGATTTTTGGGCCTGTTTCAAGTCGCTGGGTCTGGGACTCGAAACCCACTCAACCATGTGGGAGGCCAGCAAAGTAACCATTACGCCATCTGCTGGTCCCTACTCACTCTTCTATTTCACTCTTATAGTTTTCAACACTGTGAGCAGGCAAAACTTTAGGCACCCTGAACAGCACAGAGAACAAGACCTCTGTTCTCACTGCTGGGGAGGGGAAGTACAGTCAAGAAAGTGTCAGCTGGTGTTAAGTACCTGCCAAGGACTCAATTGGGGTTTCTCTGCATTAAGCTGGGGGGGTTGGCGAGCCCCCTTAGGAGGTGACATAAACTGAGATCTGAAAGACAAGGAACCAGCCATGCCACTATTTCTAGTTATGGCTGCCCCTTCAGCGTGCCAGCTGCTCATCTCTCTGGCATGTTCCCACAAGTGCCTTGTGTCTGCAGAGTTGGGAGACGTGGTGGATCTCACCCCATCACCCTTGGTTCATGCCTTCACCCAGGAAGTACTCCCCAGGTCTCCATCGCAAGAAGCTAAGTGTGAAACCTCCTCAGGGAGCTCTCCACACACCTTGAGGGAACAGGGTGCAGTCCTCAGGTCTGGTGCCAGCCTCCTGCCCAGAGGGGAGCTGTGCGTTTCCCATACACGCCGTCCCAGGAGTGTGCGTGTAAGGATTGCAAAACAACTCGAGTGCTCAGAAGAATCCCCACGGGTCCTTGTTAAAATACGAAATCCTGGGTCTCTTTAATTAGATCCTCCAGAGGCAATTTTTAACAAATATGGTCATAGCTGAAGGTAGTCTGTTCTACGGGAGCAGCTAGGTCCCAGATGCTCAGGATGTATTGTACGCAGGCTCTCCACCCAAGGCCGTGCTTTGGTCTAAGTCTGCCACCCATTCCGTTCCACCCACCAAGTAACCCGTCCGCGCTAACAGGCAGGAACGGGGCTCGAAGACGGGTCTTCGGTGCCTCCCCCTTCGGGAAAGCTGCCCTCTGGCTCTTTTGACACACTCCTGGGCCATCTGGTAACACTCACCTCGCAGCCACATTTTAATGGGTGCGTTAGTCCCCAAAAGACTTGTGAATGGTCAAAAGTCCAGCTCTGGGGTCAGCCTGCCCAGGTCTCTCACCCACCGCACAGCTCTAACACCCAGAAAGTTCTCTTCCAGATTGCTCCCCACTAGAAGTAACTACCACGTTAGTAAATGATTAAGCGCTCACAATAAACCTCACGAACACACGCGTTGTCTTTAT